GAGGCCAGGGCCTTTCATTGCATAAAGGCACTGAGAACTGGAGCCACTGTCCCTTTCCACGCAGAGATGTGGGGACACTGGTACTGCTGAGCGCCCCCCCCCACCATGGCAGGTGTAGACCACCACACTTAATGTTTAACTCAGCCCAGCAAATTAATCATGGAAGCCTCGCTCTGTTTATGGGTGAAAAAACTGATGCTTCAGTAAGCAAATCCCAAGTTGTACATCAAACAATAAATAAATAAAAATGTGAGTGCTGAAATTTGAACCCAGGGCAGTGGTGAGATGTGATTTGTGTTTACGTTAAGAAAGGCTAGACCTATATGCTTTCCGGAGATCTGGCTCCTCCTCTGTCAGCATGCAAATGAACAGGCAGAATTACTTCCTCATACAACAGTGAACTGGAAACCTAATCCGAGTCACTATGTGGCTTATTAAGAGTTACTGGAAGTTTTTTTTGGCCCTAGTTTCTCACTCCTAAAAAAAGATCCCATTTTGCATTGAAATGTGTTGGTTGGGCAAGCCTAGTTCTTCTGCCCCACCCCATCCCCACCCCCAAACACAGGGGACAGGAGTTCTGATGATCCCACACTCATCAGGTTTCTCTTGCCAATAGGCTGGATCACTCCTGCAGCCTGGACAACAGAGGGTGAGAACCTCAGCCAGGCTCTGGCCCTGGAACCCTCCACCCCTTCACTCAGCCCCTCCTGCTGCTCTTGTGTCACCTGGGTGTCATTCCCAAAGACTCCATGTGATTTAACTCCCTGTCTACTGAGCACCTACCTGCCGACTGTACAGACAGTGAGGCATGGTGGCTTTTCTATAGACGTGTATAAACTTGAGAGTAGCTGGGAACCCTGTGCAAATTAATGACTGCCAGAAGCAAGTTGAAGAGATGGGTTTATTTTCACAGCCAGGATTGATAAGAGAAAGAAGTGTAGAGGCAAATCGTAACCTGAGCTTTGAAAGATGAGACTTTGGAAAGAGAGGAGAGAGTGGGGATTTCAAAGTGGCTAGTGACAATGTCGCCTGTGTTAGCAAGAAGAGTTGGGAGCCAGGGATGTAGCTCAGTGGTAGAGCGCTTACCCAGTACTGCAAAAAAAAAAAAAAAAAAAGCTGAGAACAGGCTGTGGGAGTGGCTCAAGTCGCAGAGCTCCTGACTAGCAAGCAGGAGACTCTCAGTTCAAACCCCAGACCTGCAACAGCAACCAAAAGCAGAGCGAGCACCATCCACAGGAGGCAGGGCAGAGCAAGTGCTGACAACAGGGAGCCCACAGGCCACTGCTGTGCACACGTAATCTGTGGTCTGTGACATTTCCAGAACATTTAAAAGTCAACATTAAACAAAACAGACTTTGTCATACAGATGTGGACTTCTAACTCCTTATAGAAAAAAACTGGAAAATCCAGTTCCCTGGGCTCACTGCTGGCATAAGCAGACTGAGGACACTGGAGGGACAGTAACCTTCTGGACAAAGGACGAACACCTCCAAACCACTGTGCCTATTTACATTACCTGCGGGCCAAGAGACTCTGAGTTTGAGGCCCTGCTGTGTGTGTATATGAGGTGCAATGCACGTGTCCACTGACCACTTACCAGAACTGTCATCAAACACCATGAATGTGTGTGCATGTGTGTGTGTGTGGTACTGGGGTTTGAACTTAGGGTTCACACTTCCTAGGCAGGTGTTCTACCACCTGAGCCATGCCCCAGGTCTTTTTGGTTTTAGTGACTTTTTCAGGTAGGGTCTCATACTTTCTGTTGGGGGCCGGCCTCAGATCTCAATCCTCCTCCTACCTAGACCTGGGATTACAGGCATGAGCCATCGTACCTGGTGTGAGCACCTTTCTTAATCAGTCTTGGTTTCCTCTTCTGTGACATGAGCTACTGTCCTAACCTCACTCAGATAACTTAACATGTGGCACAGTGCCTAAGGCATAAGTGCCTAATAAACAGCGGCTGCTACCACCAGAACTGTCAAAGAGACGGCCTCCTTCAGGGCCACAAGCTGCCATAACATAACGCAGCTTCACAGAGGTTTAGGCCCCCGGGGACACAGAGCAAGATGTGCTCACCGGCCCTTCCTTTCGGCAGCATCCTGGCCAGTCGCCATTGCACTGGCTGGGTCATTCTTTGCCTCCAGCACGAGAAACAGTGAGAAGAAGGTGAGCCCCTCCCCCTACCACACTGGCCCATTAATGCAGGGGTGAAATATTTCATGGACCCAGGTCACTTGTTTTTATCCAGTTTCCCAGCAATGTCTCTTTCACACAACCAGTTCAGAGACGCAAACCATCAGCCTACTCGGCTTTCACTAAGGCAAGTCTCATCCCAAATCCAGAGAAACTGGGCTGCCATGAGGGGTGGCACGGCTTTCAGGGTCTGGAGTCTGGGAGGTGGTGGAGATTGTGGGATCACCCACCATGAACCTGTCAGGCCAGGAGGCAGCTTAAACCTGGAAGGTCCCCTGCCTCTGCACAGGGCTGAGTCACTGCTCCTGGCCATGAAAGAGAAAGGCACAGTGCACAGCACCTTGGCTGCTTCTCCAGTCCCCTCCCTCCATGACCTCACAGCTGATATTCTTCAGACAAGGCACCTGACAGGAGGACTTCGAATCAGCTATGCCCAGTGAGCTCAGAACTGCCATGGCACTCCACAATTCGGCCCCACTAGTATCAGTCTTAACAAGTGGCTTTTGCAGAGTGCAGCCGTGGCTCACTCTTTCCCGGAACTCATAGGATCACGCTCCTTCAATGCTGGGGAATGAGCAGGTGGCCTAAGACCCAGAACTCATTGTGTGCAGCTGCTGGGCCGTGACCTTGTCTACAGGAACACTCACATACCAGAAATGTCAGAGGTGTCCTGGTATGTTACATAAACAAAGCCTCTCTTTCCAGAAAAAGTGCCTTGCACACACTTGGACATTTTTCTCTTTAAAGGCACTCAGTAATCCAGATTCAGTGAGCCTGCAGGATCAGCAGGGCCAGCTGCCGACTTTGCTGCCCGGCACCCATTCTCCCTACTCCAGGCTTCCCCGTGGACGGCCACCACACCCATCCTCAGAGGGAACTTCGATCCAGCCCTGTATGGTAGGCCCAAGTCAGGTGCCCAACTGGTCTTAGTGACTGGACTCAGTGCCTGTGGCTCAGTCAAAACCAATCAGACACAGTGTCACTTTTATTGGGGTTCATGGGAACAAAGGCATTTTGCCAAATGCACCATGCAAATCTGAGCACGGGCAGCACTGGAACCAGAGGGCAGGTAAGATTTAACCTCTAATCCAGAAAGAAAGTGCAGAGGAAATGAAAGAAAGCAAGAGGTGGGGAAAATTCAATGGAGAAATTAAGGGGAGAACACAAAGTACCAGGGGTGAGGGAAAGGGAGGGGGAGGGAAAAGGCTCAGCGAGGCCTTGTGTGGGACTCCCACAGCTCTTCTGCTCTTAAATATTCGAATACTGCCTATGTTTGGTTTTCTGAATGTGTGGCTTTATTCTAACTGGGTTTGCTGGTAGACTTTCTAATATTTACCTAGGAAAAATGTGAGGTATATTTATTTAGGAAAAAAAAAAAACAGAACCAAAAGTATTCTAACTTTACATTGGAATAAAATAAGAGGCTTCTATTTGCTCTAAATATAGCTTAGGAGCACTCTGACTACCAGCTGGGGTGTGCAGGACAGTATGACACTCACACTCTGAGCCACTGGAGAAGACAAAGCTCACGAAACACGGAAATAGAGGTGCTGGAAGACGACAGTGTGTCCCCTCCTCCTGGGGACTCTGCTTGCTTTGCTCTGGCTGGAGAAGTCTGTGTAGACTTCTGGGTACCAAGGGCAGAGGGTAGAGTGGAGGACAAGGAGCGGGTGGAGAACCTGCCCTGTCCCCACCGGAACCACAGGACACAAGAAGGCTACTTCAGAGCAGGGCCTGAGGGACTGAACGGCAGGCGGAGGCATCTCCTGCAGAACCCACCAGACCTGCAGGACTGGATAGCACTATCATTTTTATTTTTTTTTTCTATTTGGCAGTACTGGGGTTTGAGCTCAAAGCTTCCTGCTTGCTGGGCTGGTGCTCTACCACTTGGGCCATGCCCCAGTCCTAGGTGCTAGCATTTTTGAGCGGGGGAAGAGCAGCAGTGACATCAATAAGCAGTCATGCCTCCTGAAACTGGCACATGACAAAGACAAGGGCAGCCTTCATCCCAGCCACTCCATGAAATTCCCATACAAACCTGGGCAGGAACTCTGGACTTGGGAAGGAAGCTGAGGCCACAGGAACTGGAACTTAGGTTCCTAAAATTTCCTTTATATGCTCTGGGTGGAAAGCCCAGGACATCTCAGCTATACCTCAAAAGTGCCATCAACCCTCAAATAGACATACAGCTTTCAAGAAATGAAAATGACAAACTCGCTTCCATGCTTAGAGCAAGTGGCTGGGACATGCCGCCACTGAGGGGACAGCCAATCAGGGGACAGCAGGTCCAGTTACCTCCGTGGCATGGCGTAGCGATCCAACACAATGGGAACCACACACGCCCCAAAGACACAGGCAGGTGCTGCACTCCCTGCACTCAGAATGGAGGACAACATTCAACATGTTCCAAAGACAGGAAAGCTGTGTGGACCGTCCATCTGCAGAACAGCTGGCCTCCTGACCCACGAATGAGAACCGACTTCCTGAGCTCCCAGGCACAGGTCTAGCATGGAGCCCAGAGCTGCTCCAGTCCTTCCAAAAGGGAGAGTCACTCCACTCACATGGAGCTCCTCCCGACTCACATCTACAGCCCATGTTCAGTTCTGGAAGTGGTAGCAACAAGGAAAATAGTCCTGCTTGCTTTTCATTATTCTATCATGTTAGATTTCATTTTGCACAAAAACTTCAGCTTGACACCTATAGACAGATTCAGGGTGCCTCCACCTGAGGTGCCACATATCATTCTGAGTGAACAGTGTGTTGCAGCAGAGCCAGGACCCCAGGCCTGGAAACGGAGCTCCACTCACCGGGTGTGGGAGATGCAGTCGTAATTGTCTGGTGGGTGCTGGAAAGAGCCTTCCTTCTGGTTTCCAGACTTCAGGTAACAGGACTTGATTTCCCCTGCAAAATCACGAGATTTCAGCAAAATGTATTGTACCACTGTCAGTCCACGACAATTGTCTTCAGCTTGCACTGCTTTCACGTTAAAGAGAACTCACTTTGGCCATTCGAGTAACTGTCGACCTCCTAGTTCCACTGTTTAGATTTCTCCACAGAAGGTGAATCATGGGAAGATGAATGGTGTCTAAAAGAAACTTCACACCAGGTGCTGGTGGCTCATGACTGTAATCCTAGTTACTTGGGAGGTTGAAACCTAGAGGATTATGGTTCCAGGCCAGCTAGGCAAAAGAGTTTGCAAGACCCCATCTCAAACAATATCTGCATGTACACGCCTGTCAGTCAAACAGTGAGAAGCCTAAAATAGGATGGTGGTCCAGGCCAGCCTGGGCAAAAAAGAAAGACCCTATCTCCAAAATAATCAGAGGATGGCTCAAGCGGTAGAGCACCTGCCTAGCAAGGGCAAAAAGCCCTGAGTTCAAACCCTAGTACTGCCAAAAAAAAAAAAAAAAAACCTCCCAGGCAGTAATTAACTTTTGAACGTTACTTGCTACATAATTGCTCCAAACTGTTTACTTGTATCATCTGCTGTTTCACTGGATACATTCCCTACAGAGGTCTGTGCTAGGCCTGGTGATTCTGCTGTCTTCCACTCCGGTGTCACGCATGAAAGGAGGCTCACTGACCATACAGTTTAGACGGACACCACGGGACACCCGGTGTGGGGCAGCTGACCGAGTGGCAGCCTGTTAAGAGGAAAGCAAGGGGTGGGGCTCATTTGCAGAGTTAAATTAGCTCCGTTGGAGGTGTGGGGCTTCAGGTGTGAAAATCAGCTCCATCCTGATGGAGCTGAACTCCCTCCCAGAGTTCTCAGCAGCACCTTTCCAGGTGGCAGAGGAAGCGGGATTAACCTGTTGTGAGCACCTGTAAGGTGGCCCTCAGCATCTGGGCAGGAGAAGTGGAGACAGCTGGCCCCTCTGCTGGCTTGGATGGAGGGGATGGTGCAGGACTTTCTAAACTAAAAGCCTCTTTGTATTTCTGCAGATACAAAGGCACTTAAGATTATAGAATAGTGAATTAAGTAAGATAACCACAGGATTTATTACCCAAGCCAGAATCCTTTTGAGACTAAAACAGCAAACACTACTTGGCTTATAGGGACCTTAGCCAAGACTCATTTCAGAAAAGCTAGACACATCCTGTATCTTTGGAAATTTGAACCCGACATGGTGATTCTCTTTGTACACTATCGTAAATTCTTCTTATAAGAAGGCACTAAAGAAAAGATACCAGGGCAGATTTCAACATATATCCAACAAATATTTACCGGCCACTGGGCATTGCCCTGGTGAAGTTCATAATTGTGAGGAAAGAAATGCTATTGATCAATTATTATGAGTAAATGAATAATGACAAGCTATAATACTGTACGAGGACGGGGGGTTAAGAGAACAAAACCAATCAGAAACGATGTACCTGGTGAAGACTAAGGAAAGGTTTCCTGAAAAACTTACCTGAGAACTAAGCTAGAAAGGCTAAACGGCACGTTGCACGCAGAGAGACTTCGCACAGGCCAAGGCCCTGCGGCAGAAAGGAGCACGTCCTTTCCAAGAACATGCCGGGACAATCACAGGACTATCTGCCCACTGCAACACCTAGTGCTCAGGCTACCATCACACGGAACCCTGAGAAAGCCACCCGCCATCCTTGTCCCCTTCTTGCTTGCTAGTTGAGACATCTGTGACTCACCGTGTTCATCGATGAAGACGTGCATAGCATCTACAGACATCTCGTCCTGCACAGAGGTTTCCGGCCCACTGATGACTTGCAACACAGAGCTATCTTGTTGGGAAGTTACCCTGTAGATTATTTGTCTCTGTCTATTGCCCTGGAAACTTAACATATATACAAGTTTCAAAAATGATTAGGCATTCCTCCTTATTCTCCACAAAGCAATACAAGCAGCGGCAGCAAGTGAGGCGGCTGGGATCCAGCAGCACAGCACGCGAGCTAAGCTAAGTGACCCTTACAGGGCTGTGGTCTTGGCGGGTGGCGCACACCCGGGGCTGGCACCGCCGAGCTCTTGGCTTTGCAAGTCTGCTTGTCCCAGCCTGTGATCGAATCCCCGGGGCTTCTCTCTGCTCTCTGGAGTGTCTTCCCTTTTCCCCTGGGAGCCAGGATCTAGAAAACATTAATTATGATTAATAAAAAAAAAAAAAGTCAGTGGGAAAACAGGAATGCTTTTAAATGAATTTTCATTTTGCTAAGTGTGAAAGTTCTAAGTAGAATTGAGAACCAGAAGTGTGTATTTCTTTGAGACAAATGACTAAGGCACTACTAATACCATCTGCCCCACAGACGGGCTCAGGTGCTCTTTTTTGGTTGTTTTGTTTTTTGGTGAGACTGGGGTTTGAACTCCAGGGCTTTACTCTTGCAAAGCAGGTGCTCTACCCCTTGAGCCACCCCTCCAGTCCATTTTGTTCTGGTATTTTGGAGATGGAGTCTTGACAACTTTTTGCCCAGGTTGGCTTCCAACTTCAATCCTCCTGATCTCAGCCTCCCAAGTAGCTAGGATTATAGGCGGGAGCCCCTGGCGCCCTACTCATGGCCTTTCTTGACTAACTCAGTGACACAGGTAGAAATACCCATTTACACCACACAGCCTGAAAGGTGCCAATGTCATGGACACATGGCCCCAGGTGAAAACAGATACATAAGCAAACCTGGCTGTTTCAGACCAACGTCCACCTACCACTTTCAAATCTTAATGCTTTCTCCTCACTCATGCTGCAATGGCCCCTTGAAGCACACGTTTGCTGAGTGTGACTGTTTTTTCACTACACAGAAGCATCTTCAGATGAGAAATCTGAAGCCAATGGGCTCAGAGGGCATGCTTTGCTTTTTATGAATCCTCTTTAAATAGGAGAGCAGACAAAGAGTGCTGGTTCAAGCCACCGTGCAAAATGGAGTATCCCCTGAGGGTCAGCCCTGGCTTGTCCATGGCTACACCACAGTGGCGACTGCTAAGGTCAAAGGCACCACTGTCTTCCCAAGACCTAAGACGCTGATAGCGATCTTCTTCTGAGTACACCCTCAGCTCTGAAAGTCCTTGCCTGGCCTGGGAGGACAGGATCCCGGGTGGGAACACACAGGCCCTTTCACAATGGCGCCCAGTGGACCTGCCCTGAACCCTTGCACATTACACAGGTCAACAGATGCACTATTTCCTTTTTACTTTTTTGCCTAAGATCATTTGTAGGAATATTTCTGTTTATAAAAGTTCAGGCTGGAGGCATGACTCGAATGGTAGAGCACTTGCCTAGCAAGTGCGAGGCACTGAGTTCAAATCCCAGTATGGCCAAAAAAAAAAAAAACCTATAAAAATACACATTTAATGTGTGTGATCAAAACTAGAGAGAAGAAAAAAATATCACTGGTCATCCTGCTGTCTAACATGGAGCTGATCCAATCATACCCCAATGCTGAAAAAGTTCTTTCCAATAGTGACAGTCTACCAGCGTGAGTCTCTGCTCTGAATATGTGACAAGCACCCAAACTAGGTCAGAAAGTCTTACCAAAAAAAAAAAAAAAAAAAAAAAAAAAACCCTGCTTTTACGTCTATTGATGTGATGTGTGATGTTCCTTAAAATTTTTTGCTGAATTGGAGAAAACTGCTGAGACCCTCCAATATCAAGCTGGAGTTCCTGGCTGTCCCCACACAAGACTGTGCAAAGGAATGACCCCAGCACTGCAGACACTGAAACCCACAGCAGGGGAAGTCGTTTGTCCTGTGCCCCCCAACGCTACAGCAGTCCTTCCCCACTCAGCTGTCAGAATGATGTCCTCAATCACAGAAACTGGGCAGGTGTAGGCACACATGCCTGTAATGCTGGCTACATGGGAGGCAGGGATGGAGGACTGTGGTCTGAGGCCAGCCCCATACAAAACCAGAGACCTTATCTTTAAAGATACACAAAATAAGGACTGGAAGTGTGGCTCAAGTGGTGAAGCACCTGCTTTGCAAGTACAATGAAGCCCTGACTTCAAACCCTGGACCCACCAAAAAAACAGAAATGCAGAAACTTAAAACTCTTTATAAAACTTTATTAAAGTTTTTAATTATTATTAAGCTAGGCAGTGGGGAGCTCATGCCAATAATCCTAGATACTTGGGAGGCTGAGATCAGGAGGATCATGGTTCGAGGCCAGCTTGTGGGGCAAATAGTCTGCAAGCCCTCATCTCCAAAAAGAAACAGATAAAAATGGACTGGAGGTGTGGCTCAAACCATAGAGCACCTGCTTCGCAAGCTCAAAGCCTTGGGTTCAAATCGCAGTCCCACCAGAAAAACAAAAGCTGTTCTAAGTCTACAAAAACCCGAGGGCAGTGACATCATTTTATGAAGGAGATCCAGGGTCCTCAGTGACCTTGGTAACCTGAGTGAACGCCCCAGGCTTCATGGGAAATGTGATGTGGTGGTGAGGGGGCGTCTGGAGCAGGCTGCCTGGGGAGGAGTCCCGGTTCTGCACTCATGGAGTGCACGGACGAGCCTGGAACGTCAGTCAGAATCTCCGAGCCTCACCACACATAGGAATGAGGCCAGGACCCACACACAGGGCTCTGGGAGGAGGGAACCCAGAGCCACCATCCAAACTGGGGACACTAGGTTAGCTCGGACTACTAACCCTTAGGGTGGTGAGGACCCCTGGGACCAGCCAGGCAGTAGTAGCCCAGTTAACAAACTATGAAGTGCTCAGAACAGGGCCTGGCGTAAACCAAGAGCTGTAGAGGGTTTGAGGGGTTTGTTTACAACTTGGAAGATTAGGGGATTTTGCATTTTTGTAACAGCATCTAGCAGGATGCATAGGTTCACCTAACGGAGACTGGTTTTACCATCGACTTACCCAGAATGCATCTTATCATCTATCTATCACCTATCTATCATCTATCCATACATCTATCCATCTATCTGTGTATCATCTATCATCTATCCGTACACTGATCCATCTATCCACACATCTATCTATCAGCTATCTACCTGTCTGTCTGTCTATCAATCATCTACCTATAGATGATACCTATATATCATCTACCTATAAAGAGACAAGTACTGCAAGTCATTGTCACTGCAGTAAAAAGAATAATTGCTTATTTCCCTGGAAATAGATATTGCCGCCTCCTGGGGAACTCAAAACTTCTTTAAGCCTCAGGTTTCCTGGCAGAGCCACCCTAACCTGAGGATGTCGGAAAAGCTTCGAGATTCAAAACTTTTTGAGCAGGAATGTGACACCCAAGAGGAAGCATCCATAGCTGACTGTGACAAGTCACGGGTGTGTTATGTAGGCAGGCATGAACAGGAACAGGATCACCCCGGTGATAAGATTCCATTTTAAAGTCCCAGGGCCACTCCCTGTGTCCTCCTTATGGTGCCCACTCCCCACATCCAGGCATGCACCTTGAGAGCACAGTGACTGCTCTGTGACCTCCCACTGGCCTCGCTAAACCAGGAAGGTCACAGATGATCAAATGAGCAGGACTAGTAGGCCTTTCCACACCTGGGTAGCCCAGGCACAGCCACCAAACCATTTGGGAAGGGCCTTGGTACTGAGCCATCTCTAACCCCGTCCCACTGGATGAACCCAGGCCCCGGCAGCTTCCGTGCTGAACTGCCCGCCTCATCCCGGGGGGCACTTCTGCTTGCTGGTAAGTCACTCGTTCCTATCTTCATATGCTTCGCGGTTCTTTTCCCACGCTTGGGGGAATGTCCCAGTGTTAATGCTGCCTCAAGATCTGAGGAACATCAGGAACAGTCCAGCCACTGGTCACAAAGGTAGGTGCACAAAGTGACCTTGGGGCCATTGTATGAGGTATACATGGAACAGAAGTGAGTCTAAACATGAGCACGAATTTCAGGTTTAGACCTGAATCTCTCATCCCCAAGGTATATCATGTATGCAAATGTTACAAAATCTGAAAAATCCGAAATCCGAAACACTCTGGTTGCAAAGCGTTTCGGGTAAGGGGTGTTGCACCTGTGTGTTTGCGTGCTTGTCCTGGAGCTAGCCAGGTACTGGCACGTCCAGCGCATGTGGCTGGGAAAGGCAAGCGACAAAGACTGCCTGACAGCTGCTGTACTACTGGCAAGATCAGACCCCAGAGGGCAAGGGGCAGAGGGCCACTGCCTGCCATGTCACCATCAGAAGAGGACCAAGGCGGAAACGCACCTCTGAGAAGCCGGCTTGCTCCGCTGGGCCCTGCGGCACCCTGTCCCTGATGGGGGGTCACCTTGGAGGTACTGATGGATTCTAACAGGGAGACAAATTCCAGGAAGTTAGACTCATTCGGCGTCTGGCCTTCCTTCGCCTCCAGGTCCGATTTGGAGGTTGGTATGGGTTTCTCTTTGTCACTGGCCACCTCTGCGGAACTTCTGCTCAGGAAGACATCTGTGCCACTATCCACGCTGAGCACACGGGCATGTCTCTTCTCGTGGCTGCTCTTACACAAGGCGGGGTCCAGGCTTGCCTGGCCTTCCCTGCCTGTCTCAGGCTTGGAGGCCACACTGGGTGTGAGGGCAAGCCTTGGGGCAGGACTGCCGCCATCCCCAGACTCATAGCCAGAACACTGATTTGATGAGGCCTCCACCATCAGTCTCTCTGGGGTCCTTTCACTTCCATGGCCCTCAGGACAAGTGCTGCCTCCTCCACCATCCTCAGACAGCTCCAGGGTGATCACAGGGATTCTGATCTGCTCAGGGGTTGGAGGACTGACCATTCCTGGTCCAGCTGACTCCCCAGTAGACCTGAGACCAGTTCTGTCCATGCCCGTTGCCTTCAGGTGGAGGGAGCTCTCCTGGTCAGTCATGGAGTTTGGGGTGCTGCTCATTGTGACGACAATTTTGATGGGTTCGTGCAGACTCAGGGGGTCTCCCGGTTGCGAGGTATCAATGAGCGTCACAGCCACCTCACTGTCCGAGTAGTCCACTTCCCGGTTCAAGGGCAGGTGCACAGGACAGGAAGTATCCTCCAGCTCCTTTGGGAGCTTGGCCACCACAGTGTTGCACTGTGGACAGCTGCTACTCAGACTGTCCTGAGGCGACCTGGGGAGCAGCTGCTCCCCAATTGTCGTCCCCTGGGGGTGACTGGTAGATTCTGGGATCAGCACTGAATTCTCACTGCCCCATGGCTGGAAGGACACATCCGTTTCTAGTAAGTCATACTGAGACAAAGACAGGTGTGGCAACTTCTTCAAGGTACCTTTGTCCACCAAGCCGCCCTCAGACCTGTGGTGGACTGGGTGCTGGTCCACGCCTCCTTGCTCCTTCCCCTTCCTGCCCATGAGGGTTTCAGCAGTAACTGGCTTCACTAGGCCCACAGGCGTGGGTGTGGGTTCCGGCATGCGCACCTGAGAAGCAGGTAAGCTTTCTGTCCTGATACCAGGTGAGGTAGATGGCACCGGGACCCCGGGGTGATCTTCTGACAGAGCGACACCTGAAAGGGACAACATCATGGTCTACATCGAAGATGAAGCACAATGTTCCAGACAAAACAACACCAAGACTAAAACCAGCTAGTGACAAGCATGCCAGGACACTGATTTTTTAAGAATAGTACTTCCAGTTGGTATTGTTTCTGAAAGGTTCATATTTAAAATATAAACCTTTTAGCTTTTGCTGTGCTGTGGCCTTCTGAGGCAGAAGGGTGTGGTTTAAGTGGAGTATTTGGAGTTGGAAAGGCCCAGGCTCTGCTCTCTACTGGCTTGTCACCTTGAGCAAGTCACTGATCCCCTTATCTAAGAGAAATAACTGTGACACTGTTGCTATGTCATCCTGGGTCACCCTTTGCTGTGGGAGACAGTCTCGAGGGCAGTAGCACTCTCTATCCCCAGTTGTGACAATTAAAAATGTGCTCCACCTTGTCACATGTCCCCGGGGAACAAGACTTTCCAAGTAAGACTCACTGCTCTGATCTCAACTTCCTCATCTGTGAGCATACTGTATTACCAAGAGGAACATACCAAGAATGACACTATGACAAAATAGACGCTACATTAGCAAGAACGTACTGTGATCATGTCAGTAGGATACAGAAAAAGCATTTGACAAAAGCCAACATCCTTTCATGATAAAAATACTCAACATGTTTAGAACTTCCTAAACCTAATGAGGACCATCTACGAAACGCTCACAGCTGACATGCATGGTAACAGGCCAGATGCTTCCTCCACAGGACCACAGACAAAGCCATGCTGTCCACTCTCACTAATCAACATTGTACTAGAAACTCCAGCCACAGCAATTAGTCAAGAAAAAGAAATAAAGGTCAACAAACTTGGAAAGGAAAGGCCTCTGTTCATGATGACATCGGCTTGTGTAAAGACAGTCCTAAGGAATTTACTTAAAACCTTAGACTTAGTAAACGAGTTCAATGAGTTTGCAAAAACAAAGTCAGTTTGCAAGAGTCAATTATATTTCCACTCCAGCAACGTACAAGCTGAAATGGAACTAAGCACAATTCCAGCCTTAGCCTCGAGAAGAACAAAATACCTTGGAATAAATTTGAGCAAAGAAGCAGCAGACTTGTACACTGTAGACTACAAAACATTGTTGGAAGAAATTAAAGAGGATCCAAAGAAATGGAAGCCATCCTGTGATCACAGACTGGAGGAATTAATATTGCCGAAAACACTCCCTGAACTTATTATGGTTCACCACAATCCTTACCAAAATTATGGCAATTATGAAAATGCAAGAGACCCAGCATGGCTAAAACAATCTTTAAAATAAGAAAATAAAGTTTAAAAAGTTCACACTTCCCAGCTTCATAACTTGTTACACGGCTACAATAATCAAGACTGCATGGTACTAACATAAAGATAGATCGATACATTAAAAGGACAGAATTAAAGTCCAGAATTAGCCTTGCAAGTGTGACCAGCTGATTTTCAACAAGGATGCCAGGTGCCAGGACCACTGAGAAACACACAAAAGAATGAAGGCAGACCCCTGCCTCACACCATGCACAAGGAACTCAAAATGGATCACAGACCTAAATGCAGAAATTTAAACCATAAAATTCTTAGAAGAAACCAGGAACGATGTAGGAGACCGCTGCCAAGGCCTGACACAAGTCAGAAAGGAAGGGAGTGATGCTTTCAGTTGGCATGGAGACCAAAGGCCGGAGCAGGGTGCTGGGTATCAGCAGTTCACAGCACACCTAAGCTGGAGGAATCTGTGGTTTAAATGAGGAAGAAGGGGCGTGTGTGAGGGTGAGAGTGTGTGAGAGTGAGTTGTGTGTGTGTGCGTGTGCAAGTGTGTGTGAGCACAGACATGAGGCAACACGGTTGTGTACTCTGTGTAACTAAGCCAGTGAAAACCTACCAGCTGTGCACTGTCTTTTAACAGTAGCGACTCAGACAAAGAAAGCTGGAAATCTCTTTGCCTTTGTAAAAATGGACATAGCTGAATGATGGGGCCATGGTGTGACTTCAATTGTTTCCCAGAATATAGAAATTTATACTATTTTACAATCTAAGCAGTGCCTATAATTCGTCTGGAACAAAAAGAATTGCAGAGAAAGGAAGGAGCTGTTCAGGCTCCCAACAGACGGCAAAATAAATTGCCTTACAAAGATGACCAAAAGATGATAAAACAAAATCTTAGTTCAAAAGTAAAAAAAAAAAAAAATTTAGGGTAAAATTCAATTTCCCCAAATAAAATGTGTAACTAACTTGAAAGCAATGCAGACTTGCAGAAAGCTACATCATTTCTCCTGCCGTCTTCCAAGGTAGGTACTGTAATAAAAGGTTTGTACTTCAGTGGCAAACTTATCCCGTCCTGTGTCTGCCATTCTGAGCCCTATGACAATAAGACACAGACTGGAGAAATGACAAGGAAGTGTGGCCGTGAGACATCACGATCCTAAGGTAGACGTGATGTACAAATGCTGGTGATAAATAATTAAGACCTAAAGAAACGAAGTTCAAGCATGACTGCAGTCTCAGTGCAGCTGTGGTCAGTTATGCATTTGAATTTGCTGTCACAAAACACTGAATGACGGCCACACTCTACCTTCGAGATCGTCCACGGTTTCCTGAGCTGGCAACTCCTGTAGAGATAAATGAAAAACAAGGATCAGTGTGTTTGCAGGCAGTCAGCGGCCACTGACAGCAGCCAGCATTTTCTAGATGGCACAAAGAGGACACTTCTGTGTGCACATCCGTACACCTCTGTAAGATAGGTGCAAGACTGTGCCAAGTGCAGACATCCTACAAAGCAACTGTACTGTGACAAAGGGGGCCTGCTGATTAAGAGAGCAAGAGGAGAAGGAATAGGGCATGGCTTATACGACAGTGAACAGATCCAGCCAGGCTCCTCTAGAAAAAAGGTGATTTACTGGCTTTCAAGGAGCAAAGATTTAATGTGGACAGCAGGAGGAGGCGGAGTTAATTCCAAGGCATTACAAATACGAGGGCTTGGTGGGTGACACGGGAACAGGAGGAAGTCATGGAGGACCTGTGTAGGACGGCAGAGGCCCGTGGGTGTGCTGTGGACACATGGCCAGGCATTGGTCTGATGGCCCCAAAGGCACCGTTCAAGCCAAATCCACAGCCTGCGGTGCTCCCCAGCAATCACAGCCACCTACAGCCACCACCATGGCACACTGCCACACTAGGGGTCGACGAGGAAACATGGGGAGAGACTGAAAATGAAGAGGCCACCAACCAACGGCCCCGAAGAGTGACGGGAGTGGATGCTCTGTTCTCCGGAGCTGCAGCGCAGCGGTGGCGTGGGGCGGCTCGCGGGGGTGTCTTCCTTCTTGTCGCTGGGGACATGCCTGGAACCGCTGAGCCAGCAAGAGACACACAGAGCAGTGACGTTAGAACAGCCACGGAGCCCAGCACTCGGGCGAAGCCCTTCCCTCCAGCCACTGTGTCCTGTTCTGTCCTGTTCCTTACACACAAGTCATGTCTTTAAGTGAGCGTGATCAAAGTCCCTGTAAAACGATAAATTAGTGGGAGTAGTGCAGGAATGGTCACCAGCTTTACTCCTCAAGAAATGCTCGTCCTCCCTGGCTCCCAGACGGTGCATTCACTAGTCTTTGAAACACTCTGGCATGCACTCGGCATCTACTAGCAAGGTAAAAACACTAATGTGCAACATTTTGCAACGCTGAGCCTGAGGCAGGTACGTTGTAGGTCACGGTATGAGGTCGTATTGATGGTGAGTTAAGCCATTCTGGTTATGAGAACCGATAAGGGGAGGTCACTAATGGGAGAGGGAGGGTAAAGGAAGGAAGAAGGCAAACATGGTTGATGTATTTCCTATAGAAGAATGAATACAGAATTTTTAAACCTGTTGAAATCATGATAAGAAGAGGACTAGGGTAGAAAGGAGAAGAATGGAGGAGATGAACCAGTTGGGGTTATAATACATAAATTCACGGAAATGTCACAAGGAAATTCCCTGTGTAGCTATCTTAAGTAAACAAAAATGTCTTTTTTCAAAAACAGGACAGGAAGGTAAATCAGGTCCTGTCTGGGAGGATATAAGGAAAGGGTGTAGGAGGGTGAATATGGTGGAATATTATATACTCATGAATGAAAATGGAAAAATGAGACTATTCCAGGAATGGGGAGGTGGAATAAAGGAGAATGATGGAGGACGTGAACTCAACTATGATAAGTAAGAAATTCAGGAAATGTCACATGTACCCCCAGTACAACAATAATATGATAACAAAAAAGTTAAAAGTAAACACTTGTAAAACAACAAAATAAAATTTAAAAAGCAAACAGAGCATATAGATCGGTGCTTACCCAGACTGGCATGTCTTCCAAGCCACTAAAATGGGAGAAATATTACCTTGATCAAACCACAGCACTGAGGCTGTGAGAGACACTGGCGGGAGGGTTACCTTGGGTTTTTGTGACCAGCCGCGTGTGCGCTGCTGGCCCCCCTGCTGGAGCTTGGCTTTCCTCTCTCCCCGGGAGGCCGCTGCTGAATCACTTCACCTTTGTCGAACATGAGATGCAGGCGATAACTCACCAGCTTGATGACGGTGAAGAAGACAGTCACCGAGATGCAGTAAAACAGCACGGTGACCACAGTGGGGGGAAAGGCCTGAGGGAGGGAAGAGAAAAGCCATTTGGTCATGGGCTTTCCTTTTTGTGTGTGTGCGGAACTGGGTTTGAACTCAGGGCCTCGCACTTGGCAGGCCCTCTACCACAGCCCTTTTTGCTTTTAGTTTCTTTTTCAGATGGGGTCTCCCACTTTTTCCATAGTTTTTCTCTAACCATCATCCTCCTGATCTTTGCCTCCTGAGTAGCTGGGATTACAGGCTTGAGCCAACATGCCAAGCTCATTTTGTACCATTTGTTAAGCAGAAATCAGGCAAGGTTTCAAATTTTGTTGAAGAGAAAGAACCGCTAAACTGTGTACTTTTTGTCTCTGGTGTCTGGGTTTCTGTTCCGTCCGGTGGATCTGAGAAGCCAGGTTTGATTTCCAGGCAGACACCCACAGAGGAAAGGAAGCACACAGGGAGAGAACGTACCCAGTTTTCCATTAGCTCCTGCCTCAGCCTCATGTGGTCTCCCTGTACACCTGGTCTGAAAGCCAGAAAAGGCCTGTAAGCTGCTGCTTCCTCACAAAAGAAGAAACCTGTGCAGAACAGAGGACCCAGGGAATGAGCAGGGCACAGTCACCTCCCGACCTCCCACTGGGCTGACACAGCAGGCCATGGGTCTACATGTCCAGCCATGGCAAAGGACCTCAGCAGTCAGCTCAGTTCTGCCCAACCACCTCAATGAGCAGAAAAAATCCTAGGACTCCACAGACTGCCCTCACACCTTCCCAGCTCTGCCCCAGGACCTCAGACCACCTCAGGGTCTTTCTAACTAACTCCCTGTCTCTTGGGATGGGAACAGGATGGGAGCATCACAAGAGGTGTCATGGCCAGCCTCAGTGGCCAGTGAGACCCTTTCATTCATGAAGCACTGAGGTCCTCTGAAATCTGGTGCCTGCTCCAGTGTAAGCCGCAGCTCCCGAGCCCCTGCTGTGGTCTTGTCTGAGTCTGTCACCTAGTTGAAGCCATGACTGAAGGCAGAATGGCTAAGCGAAAAGAACAGCAAAGAGCGAGCCAAATTGCCACCAGCGGGGAAGACAAGGTGGGGGGAGAAGTCCACACGTTAAGTATCAATTAATAAACATGTGAAGAAGTGGACACTGGTATTAAACAGGCCAAAAAACTCCCTGTGCACACACACTGCTGGTGTGAATCCGTAAAGAAATTCCAGCAAAATGCAGCCAAGGTGGAAAAGAGAGAGGGTGAGAGGGAGAGAGAGACAGAGGCTGCTAACAGCCCCCAGCACCTCAACTACCTTAATTTAAAAGAATCAGATTAAAGCTAGAGAGTTTGTTGAAAGAATCTGATTTAAAAAAGAAGAAGATGTCCATAAGAATAGAAGGACATTACTACAAACTGCACTACAAAGTTGTCATCACAGGGCGCCTGGCTCCTGCCTGTAATCCCAGCTACTTGGGATTGGAAGGATCCCAATCCTCGGAAGGCTTGAGATTGGAAGGATCGAGTTTCGAGGTCAGCCTGGGCAAATGGTTCAGGAGACCCTATCCCGAAGATAACCAGAGAAAAACGGACTGGAGGAGTGGTTCAAGCGGTAGAGCGCCTGCTTTGTAAGTGCGAAGCCCTGGGTTCAAAACCCGTCCCTCCCCCAGAGTTGCCACATATCTTGTACAGCACCAGGGTCTGCAGGGGTGGCCTGTGGTTGGGCAAGGGGCCTGTGCAGCCTCAGGCCACGCATGGACCATGAGCTGATGCCCCTGAGCTGCGCCTCCTCCATCCCCTCCTCTCCTCTCCTCTCTCCAGGGTGATCCCAGAGGCCATGTTCTCAGACAAGGCCTCTCCAAGACAGTGGGGCTCCCTTCCGCTGCAGTAGGCGGGACCCTGTGGAATGCAGTCCCCAGACACCCAAGGTGGACCGGTGATAGGAGCAAGAAGCCAAGCGGCTGGCTTCGAGTTTGGCCCACTGTGGAAGCTTGCTCGACCTGGGAAGGACGGCGGAGCTCCCACCCAAATCAGAACAGAAGGCATCAGTAAGAGCGAGAGAGCACAGGGGAGGATGGACGAGACGGGAAAGGTTGTACACGGCTCGTGGGAACCGTCACAGCACAGAGGAGGGACACCGTGTCTCCTTCCAACCTCATAAACGTGGCTACTGCAGAAGCGGGAAGGTTGCAAAGGCGAGCGAGAAGTTAGAGTGAAAGTCCACAGAGCAGTGCTCTGTCTAGAGTCCAGGTTGCTTCCCGGGTGACAGCTGGCTCTCATCTGGTCCTTGGTGAAGGGCCACTTGGCACTTGGTCACATCTGCAGAAAACCCAGGCACCCCACCAGGCCACGCACGCAGTGAGCAGAGATTTAAGGATTTTCTGAGTACTTCCTCCAAGGGGCAAAGTGTCACAGCATCCTCCGTGTGACACATCGCTCCCGAAAGTTCCCCGATCCCAGGACTCCTTAACACAGGCCCTGCAAACAGAATGGAACGTCTTCCGGAACATTCCTCTCTATGTCCTGTCAATATGTCCTGTCCGGGCTCCTCCCATCCTACACCTCCAGACACAAGGCCATTTCATTGCCTTCCCCCCTCCTGTGGGCTGTACCCCACTCCCACACAATAGCATGACTTCCTGGGGCTCAAGTCAGCCCCACTGAAGCTTGCTGGGCATCTGTAGCGGGTCCAGTGCACCTCAATGGTTTCTTTATCATTATCATCATTATTATTGTTATTATGCTATATTATGGTTGTGCTGCAGGTTCACGGTGACATTTACAGAACTTCTTACAATTTATCATAGCTGAATTCACCCCTCCATCATTCTCCTTTGCCCTCCGCCCCCCCATTCCTGGAATAGTTTCGACAGCTCTCATTTCTCCATTTTCACTCATGAGTGCCTAATATTCCACCATATTCACCCTCCTATGCCCTTTCCTTAGATGCCCCACCCCCACTGGTGCCAACCCCCAGACAGGACCTGTTTTACCTTCCTGTTCTCCGTTTTTGAAAAAAAGACTTTTTTGTTTGTTTATGATAGCAAAAAGGGAGTTTCCTTGTGACATTCCATGAGTATATGTATTATATTCCAAATTGGTTTGTCCTCTCTATTTTTCTCCTTTCTCCTTTAGTCACCTTCTTATGGTGATTTCAACAGGCTTAAAAATCCTATATTTATTGTTGCAGAGGAAGTCCATCAGCCATGTTCACCTTCTTAACTTCCTTCTTTTACCTCCATCTCTCATATGTGACCTCCCTTTAGTGAGACCTGTTTTTCATAGTATCGCTGTTTTTGTATTAGGTCTATATTCCACATATGAGAGAAAACGTGGGCTTTTGGCCTTCTGAACCTGACTAACTTCACTTAAGATGATGTTCTCCAGTTCCATCCATTTACCTGCAGACAAAAAAAATTTCATTCTTCTTTATGGCTGAATAAAATTCCATTGTATACAAATATCAAACTTTTTTTTTGTGGCGGCACTGGGGTTGAACTTGGGGCCTCACACTCGCTAGGCAGGAGCCCTACCACATGAGCTACTCCGCCAGCCCTTTTGTTGGTAATGGGTTTTTTTGAGATAGGGTCGTGCAAACTATTTGCCTTGAACTGGCTTTGAACCGTGACTCTGATCTCTGCCTTTTGAGTAGCTAAGATTACAGGTGTGAGCCACCAGTGCCTCCCACCACATTTTCTTAATCCATTCGTCAGTGGTGGGGCATCTTGGCTGTTTCCATAACTTGGCTATTGTGAATAGTGCCGCAATAAACATGGGTGTGCAGGTGCCTCTGGAGTAACCTGAGTCGCTTTCCTTTGGGTATATCCCCAGGAGTGGGATTGCTGGATCATATGGCAGGTCTATGTTTAGATTTAAATCTGTAGCTTCTTTACTTACAGAGACGCCCTTGGGGCATTTTCCGGCCCAGGCCTGGGATGAGCAATTTCTGCAAAGAGCCCAGGTAAATGGTGTTTAGAGACCATAACTCAACCTTCCAGCTTTCTATTCTCACTAGGTTGTCATTGCTTCTGGTTTTTTGATAGATAGCTATAATTTTATTTTATATTGATTTTTAAAAAATAAATACTGATTTCAGAGCAGTATTTCTAATTTTAAAGATCATTAAGGGTCCTTTGATTCTATATTAGTATCTGTTTTTCTTGTTGCTAAAATTCTGATTACTGGAGATATTAACTTACTCAGCATGGTTTAATCTTGTCGTAATGTATACACAGACCAAAACATCACATTGTACCTCATAAATTATGTTAGTTTAAAGTAAAAATTAGCCAGGTGCAGTGGCTCACACCTGTAATCTCAGCTACTCAGGAGGCAGAGATAAGGAGGATCAGGATTCAAAGCCAACCTGGGCAAATAGTTCAAGGGACCCTACCTTGAAAAACCCCTCACAAAAAAGAGCTGGAAGAGAGGCTCAAGTGGTGGAATACCTGCCTAGCAAGCATGAGGCCCTAAGTTCAAACCCCGGTAACCACCAGAAAGAACAAAAAAGTAAAAGTTAAGGGGTGGAAGTATGGTTCAAGATGTCAAGATGTAGTCCATCTGCCTGGTAAGTGTGAGGTCCTAAGTTCAAGTCCCAAGGCTACCCAAAAAAAAGTAAAAATTTAGTAGTAAAAAAAATAAGATATTAACATGAGTTTTTATTTTGTTGGTCGTCCACTGCATACGAAATACTTCCAAACCACACATAAGATCTTATGGTTGGCAGGCTCTTTGGATGCGGTTTGACGTCCTCGTGGACATCTGCCTTGGGTTCTGTCTGCAGCCTGGCAGCTCTGCGGTCAGTTGTTTGGTTTGTCACCATCGTGGACGTGCATGCTGCTCCCCACCAGCCCTGCCGCTGTCCCTCGTGTTTCCCTGCTGTTAATTTCTTTTACCTTTTTGCTGATTTCTTTAAAACATAAGCATCTGCGTGCAGATTTCACCCTTCTCCACCCCCACTGTCTTTGCGACAGGATCTCAGGCTGGCCTCAAACCTGCGCTCCTCCTGCCTTGACCTCCTCAGTGTTGGGGTCACAGCCCCTCGCTCTTGTGATCCTAG